TTTAAACTATAAAAAAATAGAAAATAAAGTACAATGAATAGTAATTGCCTTAGACTTGCCCTAGACTTTGCCTTCATGGGTGGAACCACAAATGCAAATGCTGACACTATTCAAGTGAATAGTTGCAGCCATTGCTTGCCCTTGCCTTAGACTTAGCCCTTGTGGGTGGAGATGCTCTAAGAGTGGTTCCACCGAGCAGCCCAAGCCCGAGGCTAGGGGCGGGCAGCGTGAAAAACCACGTTCCAGTGGGCCAGTCTTAATGGGAGTGGGACCCATTAAGACGGGCTGGCACGAGGGCTAGTTTCGCCCAAGCTCGAGCTCGAGTTTTGGGCTGATGTCATCGCTGACGCCAGGCTGGCATCAGCCCACTCATTTGATTTTTTTTTATATTGCCACGTGGCATCGTTTGAGCTCTCCGATCGGATTTTTTCCTCCAATCCAATGGCAGCCAATTTTTTTGCAATAAAATACTGAAAAAAATTCAGAATTTTTTTAAAAAAATACCCAAAAATTAATGAATTTTTTTCTATAAATACCAGCCAATTTTTTTTTAAAAAATTTATCTAAAATTTGAAATTGAAAATTTTATCCGATTATGAGATATGAATAGTATTGACATGTAGGAACCCGAAAATCTTATCCGAAAATATTATTCAAATTAATTATTGAGGTAAAAGAAATTATGAAAAAAACAAAAAAATGAATAGTAATTGCCCTTTGCCATGACAACGGGTGGAAACAGAAATGGTTTTTTGCAAAGGCAACTACTATTCACGTGAATAGTGGCTGCCTTAGCCCCCCCTTGCCATGGCAAAGGGCAAATTGCTGCAGTTGCCCTAAAGCATAAGGGCAAGGCAAATACTATTCATTTTAATTTATTTTCAATTTTTTTATGCTTAAACTATTAATTTTAATAAGGTTTTCAGATAATATTTTTGGTTGCCACGTGTCACTATATATTATAAAATTCTCACCTAAAATTTCAGATAATATTTTCGAATAAAATTTTTGGTTGCCACGTGTCCATCAAATTTCATATAAGATTTTTGGATGAGACTCTCAGTTGCCACATGTCTTATTTCAGATAAGATTTTCACCCTTTAAAATTGCGCCACGTGTCCTATGTCAGATAAGATTTTTGGATATTTATTAAAAAATTATAATATCATATTTCAGATAAGATTTTCACCCTCTAAAATTGCACCACGTGTCATCTTTATCTTCTCAATCCCTCTATAAAACTACACCCTCAACTCATGCCTCTCACGCCATATCTTCTATATTATTTCATTTCTCATATTTTACAAAACACATTCTACTCTCAATGTTTAACATGAGAAGGGTGTTGAAGAGGCAAGAGTGAGAAGAGGAAGAAATCATGCGTAAACGTGCTGAATAAGATCGTGAGGCCGATGAAGAGGAGAAAAAATGGTTGTAGAGGTGTGTATGCTTAATGAATCAAGGTAACACTATCGTCGTCGTGCCCCGAATGTGGACAGAAATAGGCAATCTCGGGGTAAAAATCTCTTGGGAGATTACTTTATCCCAAATTCGTTATATCATGTTTCTCATTTTCGAGAGAAATATAGAATGCAGCCTTATTTGTTCCAAAAAATCATGCATGATATTTGCAATTACGACACATACTTCGTTCAGAAGTATGATGCTATTGGGGTTTTGGGTCTTCTTCAAGAGCAAAAACTTACAGCTGCTTTAGGAATGCTTGCGTATGGGGCATCTATAGAGCAAGTGAATGAGATTGCGTGGATGAGAAAATCCACTATCCTAGAGTGCTTAGTCGGATTTTGTGATGCAATAGAAAATCTCTACAAGAGGGAGTACCTCCGCAAACCTACGACTAGGGACCTCCGAAGGCTTGTACAAAAAGTCAAGGCTCAAGGTTTCCTATGCATGATTGGAAACATTGATTGCATGCACTGGCAGTGGAAGAATTGCCCAACTGCTTGGTAGGGAGATTATGAGAATCGAAAGGGCTAAAAAAGTATAATTCTAGAGACCGTAGCTTCATTCGACACTTGGGTTTGGCATGCCTTCTTCGGTGTTGCCAGATCACAGAATGACCTCAATGTGCTTGGTCAATCCCTAGTATTCAACGATGACTTGAGAGGTCATTCCCCCCTGATCACATACCAAATCAACAATACCGTATACTTGGGTGCGTACTACCTCGCAAATGGAATTTATCCGAGGTGGACGACATTCGTGAAAACAATTCCGAATCCCTAATCCAAGAAGGAAAAAAGCTTTGTTGCCTTTCAAGAAGTTATAGGAAAGAGACGTGGAAAGGTATTTCGGTATCTTGCAAACTCGTTGGGCAATTATCAGGAGAGCTACTCGGATGCTTGATGAGGAGGTGCTGGAGAGCATTATGATGACTGGCTTTATCCTCCATAACATTATTGTGGAGGATGAGTATGATTATGATGCTCCAGAAGTGTTTGATTATGATGCTCCAGAAGTGTTCGAACCCGATCCCATGAACACAACATTGACTAGAATTTATAAAAGGCGGATGGGAGCAAATGGATAATCAATGGAGCATGAATTGTAAAATCGGGATGGTCGATACAACAACCCCAAAATTGATCGTTATCAGGAAATGCAATCTTCATATGTTCACAAGAGACGTCAAGTTGACTTCATCGAGCACTTGTGGGAGATGAAAGGCAATCATAGTGATGAAGTGAGATTTGTTTTTAATTATGATTTGTTTTGTGTGTGGTTTGTTTGGAATTATGCTTTGTTTTTAATTATGTTTTATTTTGTGTGTGGTTTGTAATGAATTAAGGTTTGTTTTTAAATATGCGATGTTTTGATGTATGAAATGTTTTTAATAAATAGCTATATTTTTTTAATGCTTTCTTTATTGAATAAAAGGGAAACAATACAACAAATTAATACATATTGAATAAATAGGAAACAATACAACACATTAATACATATGGCAACCCTTTCAATACAACCTAATGGTTTTGAACATTTAACCAGTCCGTATATTGCTAGGTCCATCATCATGGAAAAGCTTTCTTCTCATAACATCCTTTCGTTTTAGCTTCCAATAGGACTTTGTTTCAGGAGACATATGGCTCGTATCCACGACCATGATTTTCATCTCTTTGTTCTCTATGTCTTATTGTTGTGCCTGTTGCCTTTCTGTTGCATATGCTTCATATCGTGCCTTCTCAGCTTGATCTCTTTTCAAGTCTTTCTCAATTCTTAGTGTGCCATTGATTTCAACACAATTGTCGGATCCGTGGAAATAATTTTGAGTCTTGAACAATTCTTCACAACGTCCGTCGGACCTGTGGAAATTATTTTGAATCTCGAACAATTCTTCACAACATCCCAACATTGGTGTTTGTATGATCTATTAAAAATAAATAATTGTGAATGCAAGAAAATATAAACAATTTGGAAATTTAAGAAAAAAAAAATTAATATGCAAGAAAATATAAATATATTGGAAATGCAAGAAGAAAAAAAAAGATTATGCAAGAAAATATAAACAAATTGGAAATGCAAGAAAAGCAAAATTATTATGCAAGAAAATATAAACAAATTGGAAATGCAAGAAAAAAAAAAAGAATATGACTGCTTTGAATGCAAATGCTTCATGTCGTGCCTTATAAACAAATTTAAAAAAGTTACATTAAATAAAATGGCATTTATAAATATTTTATCTCATCAGCAAGATTTTGACCGCTTCGAATGCTGTCCCTTGCTTTTGCCAACGCATCTCTCCATTTCCATAACTCTTTATTTAAAATTTTCTACCTACTAGCCAAGGCCATTTCCGTCCAAGACGAACCCGATCTTTCACAAAATTCTCCATGAATTTTTCTCCACATATAACAGAACTTCATCTCATTGTCCGTGACTGGCAATGACTAACTTTCACCCAACCCTCACACAACACAATATATTCCTGAGTTGTCCACGCGCCTCCTGCTTTGATAGAAGAGGCCATTTGTTTATTTTTATTTTTATATAAAAATGGAAAGTAGTAGAAAAATGTGAGTGGAAAGTAAAAAATATTGGAAGGAGAAGAGTTTATATGAAGATTTTGTAACACCCCGACTCCAAGTAAATTTCCAATTTAAAGTATTTAATCTAATTAAATGTGAATTTACGAAATTACCCTTGGGGTAGGGTATTTCGGTCATTTTCTTAATCCGGAAAGAGAGTTTGGTATTTTTGGATTGGTCGTATTGAGGTGAGTCCGTGGATGTGTGGTGGACTCGATTTGGATTTGTAACAAAATTTCGGCGATCAATTTACCTTCGGTGGCAAAATCGTAATTAACTCGAGAAGGGTTTGGGTAAAAATCAGTTTTGTTTTCAGTTTTACCTCTCTTTCTCTCTTTCTCTCTTTCTCCCCGAGCTCTTCTCCCTCTCTCCCGAGTTATTGCCGAGTTACTGTTCACCTGAACAGAAAAATCCACGCCGCCACCACATCCGGCCACCCCAGCTCTCGAGACCGGTCCCATTCGATTTCGTAGTGAAGTCCCAGACTTGAACCACCCGATTTCCCCGTCGGAAATCTCGAGATTCGTCGACGGTATTGACTGGTTCGAACCGGATCAATTCCGGTGTTGCGCCGCCACTTCAGCCACCCATTTCCAGTGAAACTGGTGAGGGTTCTTCCTCTTTTTCCTTGTTCTAGCTGCCTTTGGTTAGGATTGGATCTTTTTGCTGTGTAAAACCCGATTTGAGAAGTTAGGGTTTTGGCCGGTTTTCAATTCGAAATTCTGGCCAGTTCCCGGCGGTTTTGGGCTTGGCCGTAGTTGAATGAAGTGCTCCCCTAGTTGAGTAGGACCTGTAGCCGGGAGGGTGACTTGTGATTTGGAGATTTTCCGTCACCGGAATTTCTCTGCACAACCGCTTGCTGCCAGCGCTTGTGGCGGCGTGTGGGCAAGTGTGGTGGAGCTGCAAATTGTTCCAGTGTGATCCTTAGGTTGTCACGAGCGCGTAGGATTTCGCGATTCCGAGGTCGTTTGACTATCCAACGGATTAGCACATATCGTGCGTTATCCATGTTCGATATGTTCCGACCGTTGGATCGTTTTCAAATTGAAGTATGTTACTCTGGACTCCCTTAGGATCGTGTAGGATTCGACGGACCATAAAACAGAGTCTCGTATTCTCCGAAAATGCCAACTCTAGGTTAGGATTTCAGTAACCGTCCAATCGTGTGATCGTGAGCGATCTAACCGTCCGTTTTGGACCAAACTTGCAGAACGTGTATCCTAGACCTTGTAAAACCTATAGGAACTCCCAGATTGAAAAACGGAGGTCGTGGGTCCCGTGGGCCCGGTTGACCCAAATTGGGAAGTTTGACCGTCGGTTGACCGAGTGTCTTCCAAGGCTGTTTCATTGTGCGAATTGGGTAGGACCCTATTTTAAAGTTCTGTTTCGAAGTGCTTGATGTTAATCGCATTTTCGTATTCTAAATCAGGTACTCCGACCCCGTATACGCAGCAGGCGGGACCCTCTCAGGACTTGATTATTGATACTGGATACACTTGGAATTATTTCAGGACATCCTTGAAGGGATGTTGCTGTGGACCCTGGATTTGGGGTAGTCTGCGCGCATAGGACTGGTATTACAGGCGTACAAGCTTTGACTGTGTCAGCTGTACGTGCTGGCTGAGACTTAGTTCCCCAGTTGGACGGCTTGTTCCCTAGACACATGGTGAATTGAGGAATGGCTCTGCCATGTGGACTAGTCAAACAATCCCCCGGTTGGATTGTTTCCCCGGTACAACTAAATGGTTATATTTATATATTATTATTATTATATTTTATATTACTATTATATATATATATATATGAATATTCTGTTGTTCTTATTTCTCGGTAAGGATACTTCCTCGCCGGTCATACCATTAGGTACATTTTCGAAAGTTTAATCTCTCAGGACTTTTAAGTTTTGAGTGGTGGGTTTGTGAAGTGTGATTCACGGATTTCGGATTTGGTATCCGATATTATTATTATTATTTTTTCTGTATATGTTGATATACTGCTCATGATAGTTTTAATATGCATCTGGATTCGTTGCATGTTTTTATAAAGGTGGGGTTATATTACTTTGATTTAATTGAACTGAACTTAATTTTCGTCCGCTTACAATTTTTTGTTTTGCGCCCCCAGCCAGTAGCAACTGAGCTCCACAGTTGAGTCGGACCGGGTGCTCTCGAAACTTGAGTCTTCATAGGGACTCCTTCACTTTTTCCTTTCAGTTGAACTGTACTTCTGTTGTATTTGAATTTCTTAGATATGCACTGTATCGCCCGCTGAGGGTATAAATCGTGAGGCCAGAGGCCTTTGTTGTAAACTGTTTTATTTCTTGTAAAGCATGCTGCCAGTTGGTTATTTATAATTGTAATTTTGAACAGGTTGAAGTTTGGGAATGTTCATTTTACAGGGGAGACTCTACCAAATTTTTGGTAGAAAGTCTCGGTCTTTAGTAAGTGGGCCCAGCATCGGGGTGATGTCGGAATTTAGGCGGGATCCTTCCCGGTTTCAGAGGAGATTTAGGGCGGGTCCTGTCAGATTTGGTGTGGAAAATGAATAAAATTGTTAGGTATTTATAGGGGAAAAATCCAATTTTTTTTGGTATTTTGTAAAAAAAATTTGAATTTTTTTAAATTTTTTTAGCCAAAAAAATCAAGGCCGTCGAATTTCTGGATAAAATTCGATTAGGGTGTCTGGCAAGCGCCACGTGGCATTTTTCCGTTGGGGCATGTCAGCTCTGGTGTCAGCCGTGACGTCACGCTGACGTTAGCGCCTTCGGGCTTGAGCCCAGTCAAGAATTGCCCGTGGGCTTGCCCGGGTTGGTGGATCCCATGCCTTGTCCGAGCTGCCTTTTGCGTGCTGGAGGTCCAAACCGCCCTTGGGGGGCCTGTTGCCATGGCTAGGGGCCTACGGTGGAGGTGCTCTAATAGCAGAGACAAAATTTTAAAAAAATGTGTGTGAGAGGCTTTTCTTAGATTATCTCCAACCATGTTGAGGTTAAACTCAAATTTTCACCATTTAAAATACAACTATTTATGTAATTTTAGGACTCAAATGATTTTTTCCTCAAACATTGCAGACTCATAATTTAAGTCCGCAACTTTATTAAATTTCTTAAGAATGGTTAATCCCTAATTTTTTTTATTGTTAATTTTTATTGACATTATTTTTGTTTCAACATTCATGATTTAATTTTCTGAATATTTTGATCTAAAAAATCCAAAAAAAATTTCACTTAAAGAATAAAAGCAAGTATAACAAAAAGATGGGTATTTATAGAGTTTGGGATGAGTTTTGAGGTTAGATATAGTTTAGATTAATTATAAAAATTATTTGACCACTGAATTTCAATTTTAGCCGTTGGATGTGAATTTTTCTTGTTGAGATTTCCTAAAAACAATCATGGCCATTGATTATATATATGTTGGACTTCAAAATATAAATAAAATGGGAAACATCAACTTCTTTGGAATAGTTGTTGGTGTTTAAAAAATAAAAAAATGGATTAGGAGCTTTC